ACAACAACCAGCCCTGATATTCTGATGGATGAAACCATTCCAGATGTGGTCATCCACTGGACAATCCTTGGAATGTGAGGGATGGCTAAAGTGAAGAAGTTAAAAGCAAATCCCAGTGCCTGCTAAAAATATTTTCATTTTTCCCTTTTATAAACTAAGAACATCCTAGTGCTTGCAGAAATGGGTCACATTTAATTAACCAGGGACAAACGAGGCTGCTCAGTCCATTGGGTGGCCACAATTTTGAATTTTCCATCCTGGAAATCTTCAAGAGATCACATGTGGAAAATGTGTTCCTTCCCAAAGATTGGTTGTTGGAGAAAGAAGGAGTCAACAAGGATAACTCCAGCATGGCTGACATTCCAAAAATAATGAGTGTCTTGTGCATTATTAGCAGGAAAATCAGGAAAATAGGGAATTCTTGTGAGGGTAAATGAGATTATCAACCCACATCACTCATGCTGCTGGAGCTGCCCCTGTTGCAGTATGGAAATGAAGCTTGGGAATTCTTTGGAATAAGGCAATGAAAGGGAGTTTATTTCCCTGAATAAAAGGAAATCCCACTGGAGCTTCTCCATTCTTCCTTGTGCATAAGGGATGGCAAAAAATTCCTGGATTTTTTTAAAATCAACTTTTATCGTGAGTTTGGAGAGCTCTGCCTGTGACCAAGACCCCCAGTGAGCCCCTGGCTGCATCTCTGCAAGGCATGGATGGATCCCAAATCTCCTGATTCCCTCCAAGGGATTCCCAATGCAGATCCAGAATTTGGGAATCCTCACCTGCTGCTCTCCCAGCTCTTTTCCCCTTGGATCCCATCCCAGGTGTGGTGGCCCTCTGGACAGACTTTGCCAGCCCTGGCTGAGTGAGAGGACAAATCTCATGGATGTGGGAGCAGGGACAAATCCAGGGATTTGTTTTGTGCTGGATGAGCCTCATGAGCCTTCCCAGTGAAATGCAGCCAGGGGGGTTTGCAGGCTCTGAATTTCCCATTCTCTGGGAAATGTTTTCCCACAAGTTCTGGAGATGCTGGAGCCCAACCACAAACCCCAGTCCTGCTCCTGGGACCAGCTGAATTTCACAATTCCCAGTTAAATGATTCCAGCAGGGAGCAACTCCATATTTAACATCACAGAAAGTGATTTGGGACACGCAGGAAAATCGGCTCTGACTCAGTGAGTTCTTTTAATTCCTCCTTTCTCCTCCCTGTCCAGAGATATTCCTGGATTTGGGATCACAGCTGAACATCCTCGAGCAAATCTCAGCAGTAGCTGCAATATTTAAACTTTTAAGAACAAATACTTTTTAAAAAAACACCTCAGGTGGAAATAATTTGGGCTCTAAGCCCAAAGAGATTTGTGCACCTGCTTAAACTCAGACTGGGAATTATCTTCCCCAACTCCAAGTGATTTTTTTTCGTGAGGTTTCCTCCTCTGCAGTGCCAAAGGCTGAATTTCCAAGGAATGCTGTCAGTGGTGTGCTAACAGCCTGCTAACAGCATCCCTCCTCAGGGCTGTTCCAGCCAGGTGATGATTCCAGCCTCCAGGATCCAAGAACATCTGGCTGTGCTGGGAGGATCTTGGAATTAACCATGGGAAGGTTGGAAACAGGGAGAGAAAGGCCCTTGAGCTTGTTCTTGATGTTCAACACACAGAGCAGCCAAAAGGGAGCCTGGCACTTTCCTACCATTTCCACCAGAGGAATGCCAGCTTTTCCTCCCAAACCTGCCCTGGATGGAACTTTACAGGTGAGGAAAACACAGAGGCCAAAAAAGTTTTGGAGCGTGGCCACATTTGTGCTGTGGGGTGGTTGGGTGGAGGAGGAAGAAAGGAAACTGGGGGGAAAATCCTTGGGAAGGGACCAGAGCTCTGGGTTGGGATGGGCACAGCCCAGATGTTGCTTGGAGGGCACAGAGAAAGAGGGGAAAAGGGGAAAAAGAAGGGGCTGAAGGTAGAAAAAAGCCAAAATGCAGCTGGAGGTTGAAGGTGATGGGCTGGAGGTTGAAGGTGATGGGCTGAAGGTTGAAGGTGATGGGCTGGAGGTTGAAGGTGATGGACTGAATGTTGAAGGTGATGGGCTGGAGGTTGAAGGTGATGGGCTGGAGGTTGAAGGTGATGGACTGAAGGTTGAAGGTGATGGGCTGGAGGTTGAAGGTGATGGGCTGAAGATTGAAGGGATGGGCTGGAGGTTGAAGGTGATGAGCTGGAGGTTGAAGGTGATGGGCTGGAGGTTGAAGGGATGGGCTGGAGGTTGAAGGTGATGGGCTGGAGGTTGAAGGTGATGGACTGAAGGTTGAAGGGATGGGCTGAAGGTTGAAGGGATGGGCTGGAGGTTGAAGGTGATGGGCTGAAGGTTGAAGGTGATGGGCTGGAGGTTGAAGGTGATGAGCTGGAGGTTGAAGGTGATGAGCTGAAGGTCATGCTGGGAGTGCAGCCTCTGGAGATGTCCCCAAATTCTCCTGGGAACTGAAAACCAGAGAAAAAGGAGCATCAGGTGGACTCAGAGAAGCCACCTGAGAGTCCCTTCAGACAGGAGACCAAGCAGTGAAGGGGATGGGAGGCAGCCAGAATGGCACAGAAGTGTCCCTTGAGGGGGACATGGGATTTGAGCACAGCCACGGGGCCACCTCAGTGTCACCCTCAGCACCCTCTGGGCACTGCTGGGTGCCAGCCTGAGCTCTGGGGGCACGGGAAAGGCACAGAGAAGGGCGGCACCCATCCCTTCTCCCACTTCCCACATCCTCACCAGGCTGGGAATGGGGAACAGCCCCAGCTGGGAGGGAATTCAGCTCCCTGCTGGAATTCCAGTGATGGATTGGATGCCCCAAGCCCTCGGTGTGCTGGATCATCTCACGGAAGGGATGGAAAGGCTCAGCCCCTGTCAGGAGAGCTCTGGAAGCGTCCCAGCCTTGTTGTCAGTGTCCTGTGGTGTCACGCAAACCCTGACAGTGCAATTGTCCCTTCCAGAGATCTGTCACTGCCCTGGCCTGGAGCACAAATCCTTTTGGGGCAGGCAGAGGGAGCTGATCAGTGCCCAAGGTGCCCACGGGTTTGGGGCAATCCTTGGGGAAATCAAGGAAAAAGGGCAGAGGACAGGGGCATCCTTTTCCACAGAAATCCTTGACTTGTTCTGAGGAATTGGAGAGAAGAGACTTTGGCCAGCACAGATCCCATAGGATCCCAAAACGTGGGGACATCAGGGAGGCTGGGAAGGGGCTGGGAACCAGTCGGGGCTCTCAGGTATTTGAGATTCCTACAGAGGGAATAACCCGATAAAAACCCAGCGGCCTCAGCTGGATCAGACACAGAGAGCAGCTAGTTTGTCACCTCCCTGTGCCCTCTGTCACTCCAGGGTGGTGACCTGGGACACAACCTGGACCAAGCACTGGGGTTTGTTGGGGTTTTATTGGGGTTTTACCCGTGGGGCTGGGGAAGCGGCGGGGTCTGAGCCCGGGGTTGCCCCAGAACAGGGCAGAGAGGGAGCGGGGTGGCATGGGGGGCAGCGGGGGACAGCGGGCTCGGAGCCGGGCAGCGCAGCCCGGGACGGACCCTCGGGCCGGGAGCGCAGCGCGGGCTCAGGGCGCCCCTCACAGTCCGCACCTCACCGCGCGGCACCGCGCATCCCGGGACAGAGCGGAACTGAACCGCGCATCCCGGGACAGAGCGGGACAGAGCGGAGCCGAACCGCGCATCCCGGGACAGAGCAGGACCGGGGACAGAGCGGGACCGCCCGTGCATCCCGGGACAGAGCGGGACATCCCGCGCATCCCGGGACAGAGCAGGTCTGCCCAGACATCCCGGGACAGAGTGGGACCCGATACAGAGCGGGACCACCCGGGACAGAGCAGGACCGGGGACAGAGCGCGACATCCCGCGCATCCCGGGACAGAGCGGGACTCGGGACAGAGCGGGACCGCCCGCGCATCCCGGGACAGAGCGGGATCGGTCTGCGCATCCTGGGACAGAACGAGACCGCCCGCACATTCCGGGACAGAGCGGGACCGTTCCACGCATCCCTGCTCCGTGCGAGCCGCCCAGCTCCGCGCATCCCGGCTCACAGCACCCCGTGCACCCGGGAGGGAGCGGGCCAGGCCCCCACGCACCGGCTCCGTGCGAGTCCCAGCGCTCCGCGCATCCCGGAGCGGCGCGGTCACCCCGCGCATCCCGCCCGGGCAGCGCCCGCGGCCACGCGCGCCCGGAGGCGGCGGCGGAGCCGCGGGGCCACGGGGGGCGGCGGCGGCGGAGGAGGAGGAGGAGGAGGCGGAGGAAGGCGCTCAGCAGCAGCAGCGGCAGCAGCCACGCAGCTTTGACGTCGCCGGGCTGCGGCTGCCGGCCCCGCACGTATAGCACAACGTGACGGCCCCGCCGCCGCCACTCGCGCCCGCTCCCCCGCGCCCGCTCGGCAGCGCACCCGCACGCAGCGCGGCCGCGGGAGCCCCGCGCCGCCCCCGCCATGGGCCCGGCCGCCGCCCCGCAGCCGCGCTGAGAGGAGGGGGAGCCGCTCCCGGAGCGCCGCAGCCGCAGCCGGAGCCTCCCCGCGGCCCCGCGCCCGCCCCCGCCCGCGCCGCCCCCGCCGCCCCCCGCGCTCCGCGCTCCGCTCCGCTCCCTCCGCGGGCAGCCCCGCGCACCATGCGGGGGCCGCGGCGCCGCGGTGGCCTCTGATGGCCGCGGGGCGCAGGCGGCTGCGGCGGCCCCGCGCGGCGCTCGGCGGCCCCGGGAGGCGGCGGCGGCGGCGGCCGGAGCTCTGAGGGCGCCGCGGCCCGGAGCGGGTGCGGGGGCTGCCGCTGCCGGGGGCTCGCTCTGAGCGGGGCTCGCCCCGCGCCGCCCGCTGCGCAGCGGGAGGAGGAGGAGGAGGAGGAGGCGGAGGCGGAGGAGGAAGGAGGAGGAGGAGGAGGACCGGCGCGGTGCCCGCCGCCTGCCCCCGCCGCCCTGCCTGCGCGGGCGTGCGCGGCTCGGCCGCAGCGGAGCGCGGGGCTCCGGCGGGCGCTGCGCTGCCCCCCCCCGCCCCGCCGGGCTGGATATGTGGATGCTCACGTGAAGATGGATGTAGCGATCGGGCTGCTGGGGCTGCTGACGGTTCTGCTGGAGGGCAGCTCCGGCCAAGGGGTGTACGGTGAGTGCGGGGCGCCGCGTGACCTTGTCGCGACTGTCGCCGGGGCGGAAGGGCGGGGGGGGGGATGGGGGGGTGGGGGCGAGCGGCGTGGCCCCGCTGCGCGCCGCGGGAGCCAGCGGAGGCAGAGCGGAGGCAGCGCCGTTGCCATGAGACGCTGACATTTCACGGCGATAACCGGGCCGGGGGGCGGGCGGGGGGGCGATTCGGGGGGGTCCGCAGCCGGTCCCGGGCCGCGCTGGCCGCCGCTGGGCGCCGCCTCCGCGGGGCTCGTCCGCGCCCGCGGAGCGCCCGCGGCCGCCGCACTTGTTACCGGCGGCGCTGCCGCCCGCGGCCGCGGAGCCAGGGGCGGGGGCGAAGGCGGGCGCCGCAAACTTCCCGGGGCTCCGCCGGGGGCGCGCGGACCCCGCGGGCGGGCGGCTCCGCTCCCCCGGCCCCGCTGCCCCCCGCCCGTGACTTGCACATCACCAGCGGGTCCGCTCCCGCTCCGCGCTGGGGCCGCGCTCTTGTTGCTTCCCCCTCGCCCCCGCGCCCCCGAGGTGGCCCCGGTTCGGCGCTGCCCGGAGCCCGGAGGGGCGGGGGAACCGGGCGCTCCGCCGGGGCAGCGGCCGGGATGCTGCCCCGTGCCCCGGTGCCGGCGCTGCCGCGTCCGCGGTGCTGCCTCCGTGCCGGTGATGCTCCCGTTCTGTCGATGCCCTGGCCGCGGTGTGGCCGGTCTCGATGTTGCCCGGGCCGTGGTAATGCTTCGGTGCCAGCGATGCTCCGGTTCCGGTGATGTCCCAGCTCCAGTGATGCCCCGGTTATGGCGATGCCCGGGTTGTGGCAATGCCCCGGCTGTGGCGATGCCCGGGTTGTGGCAATGCTCCGTTCCCGGTGATGTCCCAGCCCCAGCGATGCCCCGGTTCTGGAGATGCCCCGGTAGTGACAATGCCCCGTCCCCGGTGCTGCCCCATTCCCGGTGCTGCCCTGGCTGTGGCGATGCCCCCTTCCCGATGCTGCCCGTTTCCCGATGGTGGCCCGGTTCTGTGATGCCCCGTTCCCGGCGATGTCCTGTACTCGGTGCTGCCCCGCTCCCGATGCTCCCCCATTCCCGGTGATGCCCCATTCCCGGTGCTCCCCCTCTCCCGATGCTCCCCATTCCCGGTGCTGCCTCTCTCCCGGTTCTCCCGGTTCCCGGTGCTCCCGGTTCCCGGAGCTGCCCGGCCGGGCGGGGGGGTTATGTAAGCGGCTCGGCGCCGTGCGGTGCCGCCGGCAGCTCCGGCGCCCGGGGCTGAGGAAGGCGATTCACGAATCTCCCAGCAAATGCTTGGTGTGACATTGCCTCCTCCGAGCCCGTCCGCTCCCACACTTCCACACTCGCTTCCCACCTGGAACGGAGCCTCATTTAGAGACTCAGAGACTCACTCTCCCTTTTCTTTCCTCTTTAATTTTGGAAAATCTGGACGTGGCCGCGGATGTCAGAGGGGCTGGGCGGGCGGAGGAGGCTCGGCTGGTGCGGAGCTGGCAGCGGCTCCTGCCTCCCCCGGCACACAGGCACATATTGTTGGATGCTCGGGAAGAGCAGCGAACAGGAGAGGGCTTGTTCAGGAAGAGCGAGGTGGGGGCTGGAGGGAGGAGATGCGGACTCAGCTCCGGGCTCTGGGCTTTGGAGTAAAGACTTTGGTGCTGCTGCTTTTCTCCGCCTGATTTAGGCTGAGAGCTGAGAGCGCTGTGAACTCAGCCGTGCTTTGTGCTCCAGAGCGGTGCCCCGGGAATCTTGGGTGCCTTCATCGGCTCGGGAATGTGGACAAATGATAAAAAATATTCCAAGCCCGGGGTGTGCCTGCAGCCCCCGGTGCAGCAGCAGGGCCATTTTGGGGAAAGGAGGATGGGAAGGCTGGAGCCTGCAGATTATCCAAAGTGAGCCCCAGCCTGCGAAAGGATCTCGCTGCTTTGGAAAAATCGGTTTGTGGGATTTTAACAAGTTTTTTTGCCTTTTTTTTAAAGATTTCCAGAGCCTGGCAGCTCTGCTTGCGAGCGTGGTGCTGCCGGGGAGGTGTCTTGCCATGTTAACACTTGTTCCTGGTTCCTGCGCTTCTCTGGGAGCGGGCACAGCTCCAGAGCCTCTCCGTGAGGAAGGTGGCGAGGGGAAGGAAGGAAGGAGCAGCCTGGAATCCATCCCTGCTGCTCCCTGTTGATATTCCCAGCCCTGCAGGTGGCTCAGACCCGTCCCTCAGGCTCCTCCCTGGCTCATCCCACCTGTCCTTGGCACGGCACGGCTCTGCCAGGCTGTTTTCCAGCCCTGGATGCTCCCGGAGGTGCGGGAAGGGGCTGGCACAGAGCCTGGCACGGCACCGCCCGTGCCCACCCGGGGAGCAGCTCCGGCGCCTTGAAATGCAAAATAAATGCTCAGTTTGTGGATTGTGAGCTCGTTTAAACTCCAGGTTAAGGTGCCGTGCTGGGCAGCACCTCTGCAACTTCCCTCTGTTCTGGCGGAATGCTACAGCAGGGATGGAAAACTGGGATCCTAAAGGGAAACTGGGAGAACTGGGAGCAGGGCAGGCCCTGGCGCGTTCTGCTTCCTCAGGGGATGGGGGAGAGCAGAGCTGCTGAAATCCTTGGGAATTCGTGCAGCTCCTCAGCTCTCCCCGATTTCCTGGCCAGAGATGGAGAACAACTCGAGATCTGTGCACGTTTCCTCCCCTTTCAGCGGTGCATGACTTGCACTGCTAACAAAGCAGGAAATGTAGGGATTCAGGACATGGTGGTTCTCCTTTCACCCAACTTCCAATTTCCAGAGGGGAAAAACAGCTCAGCAAAGAGGCCAAGGTGGGCACGGAGAGTTTTTTTCTGACAGATCAGAAAAAAAATGGGAATTTTGGGAGAGTGGAGAAGGGATTTTTGGGTTTGTTCCTGAGCTTCCTCTGCTGGAGGGGCTCACCAGGGACTTGGGGTCTGATTTTGTGCCCTGCGGAGTGAGGAAGAGCCCAGAGAATTCCTGGACAGGAGCCTGGAGAGCCTGAAAGCTTCCAGTACCTCTGGGGTGGGGGCTGGAAAAATCCTGGGAATGGGGGGGACCTGGCTGGAGTGAGGCTCTGCTGGGGTGACAATCCTGCTCCAGGGGCAAAGCCAACACCTCCTGACCCTGGGAAGCTGATTCCAGGTGGTGACAGGAATCTGGGAGCAGCTGTGGGATCCCCTGGGTGGGATTGGTGTCACAGCCCCCTCTGAGATCCTGGCTCACTGGGCTGGGATTTATCCACCCTTCACCAAGATTTTAGGAATTTTTCCATGATTTCAGCTGGAATTAAGCAGGGCAGACCCTCAGGATGCTTCCTGGGAGCACCAGGTGTGACAGAGGAGGGGTGTGAGGGTGACAGTGACCCCTCTGTGCCACCCCAGCTCCTGCAGGGAACAGGGCTCAGCATCCCATCTGCAGCCATGGAAAACCTCAGGATGGCTTGGAATTTCTCCTGGAATCACTCATGGAGGGAGGAGTATCAGAGCCTTCCTCAGGCTCTGCACCAAATCTGGGCGTGCAGAATTTTGGGAGAAGCATCCACAGCCTTGGGAAGAATGAGGCTTCCAGGAGTATTCCCACTGGGAAAAACGAGGCTTCCAGGAGTGTTCCCACTGGGAAAAGTGAGATTTCCAGGAGTTTTCCCATTGCTGGTTCAAAATGCCCGCAATTGAAGGTATTTAAGGTCTTAAATTCCAGGGAACTTGTCCTGGTTGATCCAAGCACCAAATGTCATCCAACGGCCTCAGCCCTCATTGCAGCTGCAGGTTTTCCAAAGAACATTGGAATTGGGCATCCCAAAGGTTGGAGCTGCCCCTTTTTCCCAGGATCCAGCTGGAGTGGGGCTGCTGGAGCTGCTTGGAGCCCAGGGGAGGTTGGAGTAGGGGTGGAGGATGTCAGGAAAGATCTGGGAAATATCAGGGAAAGATCTGGGAAAAATCTGGGGAAAAATGATCAGGGAAAGATCTGGGAAAGATCTGGGAAAAATCTGGGAAAGATCAGGGAAAAATCTGGGAAAATCTGGGAATGTTCTGGGAAAGATCTAGGAAAGATCTTCCACTCCTGCCTCTTTGTGATGCTGGGATAACTCCCCCAAGCTCCGATCCCGGAGGGATTTAAGGAGCGCTGCCTTTGGAGCTGGGAGTGGCCTCTGACCTGGCCTTTCCCAACATTTTTACAGATCCAGTGAGTGGATTGGAGGGATGAGGGGAGGGCTGGGAAAACAAAATCACTGGGAGGGCATTTGGCTCTTTAGAAGTGTCGGCTCCTTGTTGGGAAACCTCTGGATCAGAGGGGAGGGAAAATCCTCTGGATCAGAGTGGACGGAAACATCCGGATCAGTCAGGGAAACCTCTGGATCAGAGGAGAGGGGAAACCTCTGGATGACCGGAGAGGGAAAAACCTCTGGATCTGTAAGGGAGGGAAACCTCTGGCTCAGCGGTCCCAGCTGGAGGATATTCCATGGATTGTACTTCCAGGGGGGATATTTCCCGGGGGGATATTTCCATGGTGCTGCCGGCCTCGCTGGGTGAATGCCGGCCTTGTCCGGGGCGCTTTAACCCCGCACAATTCCCGACTTTGTGCCAGAGAAGCGTCCCTGGGAACAGGGCAGGGATTATGCGCTGCCGCAGGGGCAGCTGCGCTCCTCCCGCTCCTCCCGCCTGCTCCGGGATCCCTGCGGACCCTTGGGAATTTTAACTCTTCCCTAAACCCTGGATGAGGATCTTCTCCTTCTCCTTCTCCTTCTCCTTCTCCTTCTCCTTCTCCTTCTCCTTCTCCTTCTCCTTCTCCTTCTCCTTCTCCTTCTTCTCCTTCTCCTCCTCCTCACGGGGATTTTTGGGGTGAGCTTCAGCTCTCAGAGAAGGGAAGAATCCCTGGAGAGCCAAGGGATTGGGATCTGCTCCCATGGATGGGGTTGTGGTCAGGGTAAGGAACTGGGAATTCTGGAATTCCAGCAGGGGGAATTCTGTGGGTTCAGGTGTGGTTGTGGCCCAGGTGGTGATTT